TCCGGGCCTGGGGCAGCTGGAAGACCTCCTGCCACACGGAGAAGAGCCCCTTGCGCTGGTCCTTGAGGCCAATGCGTGTGGTCTGCACAGCCTGAACGCTCAGCTCCCGCTGGCCCCTCCCATGCAGGAACTGGACATGGGGTGGGGGGTGGGGCGGTGAGTGTGGCTGACCCCCACCCATGTAGGAACTAGACATGGCGGTGGTGCGGGGATGGGGGAGTGCTGGCTGCTGGCTGCTGGCTGCCCCTGCCCCACCCCCGCCACGGCCACCTGCCCACCTGTAGGGCATTGATGCAGGCGCGGATGTCATTGTCTGTCTTCTCGCAGAGGGCCGCCAGTGCGCCAGGGTCAGCCCGCATGCCCCGCAGCAGGGAGATCTGCAGGGAAGTGAGAGGGTGAATGTCCCCCCGACCCCCACCCTAAAGCCACCTCCTCCCTAGAAACAGGGGTCAGCTCCTGTCCTATGGGGAGCAAAGGCCGAAAATCCCTGAGGAAGGACCTCGGTCGCTGCTTGGAACCACCCACCACCAGAGACCAAACTGTCCCAGCACCTCCACCCCATATCCTGGGACCAGCTGGGAGGCCGGGGGGCCTGACAGCAGAGGGTGGGCAGCCCTCACGGACCTCCTGGAGCCGCTGTGTGAGCCTGGAGGGCAGCGTGGGCGGGAAGTGGAGCAGGAGTGCCTGCTGCTTCAGCTGCCGAAGGGAGGGCACGAACCTGTGGGATGAGCGGTTTGCACAGCGAGCCCACCTGGCCAGGGCCGCCAGGGTGCGTGCCACAGCCCAGCAGGCATGGGGCACGCCCACCCAGCAGAGACCCCGCCCCACCCCGCCCCACTCACTGGTCATTGCAGATGCAGATGATGGGCCTCATCAGGATCCCCCCTTCCGCCCGGCGCCGCCGCCCCCCACCCGTGGGCACAGCGGGGCCCCCTGGCTCTGCCTCCTGTGGGCCCTGGTGGTCCAAGACGCTCAGGAGAACACTGATGGCGGCCTGGGGGGACATGCAGACGGCAGTGAGTCACAGCCCCCACTGCCTGCCCACCCGGCCGCAGCACACCCAGGAGGCCCACCGTGGGGGCCCCGTCGATCTCATCGATAACCAGGCAGTTGGGTCTCCCACCAGTGCCCAACACCGACTCCATCTGCGTGGCTGCCTCGATGCGCGTTCGGAAGGCCTCAGGGCTGCGGTCATCACTGGAACGAAGAGGCCAGGGAGGGGCTGTCAGGGCAGCCATGGCCTCAGCCAGGGCAGCAGCCAGTATCCCCAGCAGGACAATTTCCCAGGGCAGAGCCACCACGTGTACAACTCACGGATACTACACAAGGCCACCCCATGACACTGCAGCCAAATCCCAGTGAGCCCTGAGGATGGACAATTCCACAGCCCACCACCCCCAGGCTTTCAGGGTTGTATCCCAGGCTCGACCAGATACATCAGGACAAAAGGAGACCTGGCCCTCCCCCAACTCACCTCGCGTTCATTTCCACCACAGAGTACCCAGCATGCCGCGCAATCACGTGGGCCAGGGTGGTCTTGCCCAGCCCTGGGGGCCCACACAGCAGCGCCACCTGCAGTCGAGGCAGGAGAAAACGTGCTGTAACCCACACCACCTCACGGACTCTGGGAGACCCTGGCCCAACCGCCAGAGACTAAAAATCCTATCGCATGAAGCTCGGTGCTAAGAGATGTTCTCCTGCCCTGTCCCAATCACCAAAGGAGAATAAGCCCCTGCCTGCTGGTCGTGCAGAGCGAGGATAAAGCCTTGCCTGAAGTGAGTGATGTTTGTATCTGACAAAAACACAGCTATTACTGATATGACTAACACCCAGAACCCACCCACAGTCCAGCGTAATCACTGTGGGGAGGTGCAAGGTCCTGCAAGGAGTGCTAGTCTTACCTAAGTCATTAGAATAAAGGACTCAAATCCCAGCTCACGTTGCCAACACTCCTCACCTAGACCCTGACGTCACCCCACCTACACCGTCGGGGGCAGTAAATGTGCCTCATGGCCCCCAGAGGCTGCAAAGGTGCCAGCCACCCAGAGAACAGGCCACAGCCAGGTGGGCTCACCTTCTGCCGGGGCCGCCCGCTTGGATCCAGCTCAGCCTCCAGCATCTCCTCTAGCACCTGTCCGTGGCTTTTCCACTTGCTGGAGGCTGTGGCCTCCTTGCCACCACGGCCCAGTTCCACACGGGGTCTGGGCTTCCGGGTGGGCTGCTCTCGGCCAAACACCACCAAGTCCCACAGCTTCAGCCACTTGAGGAGGCAGCGGTTGGTGAACTGCAAGAAGAGAGGCCCGGCCTGGGGGGGGCGGCCACCAGCACCAAGGACTCCTAGTGCCTGCCCGTCACGTCACCCTACTGTCATGAGCCCAAAGACACACACAGTGATGCTGAGGCTAAATGACAAGTGATGACCAGTGAAAGGCTCTGTACTGGCCTCGGTTTCCCCACCTACAATTCAACGAGGCTGGTCAAATCCCGTCTCCAAATCCTGACACCTCTGTGGGCTGGCAAAATGAAGACCTGCTAGGCCCTAAGTACTTTTTTCTCGGCAACAAAGAAGCCAGTCACACTTCATTTAAGCAAAAACAGGACCTCACATCGTCACTGAGCAGCTCCGTATAGCGTTGGGGTGCGAACTCATCCACCCAGAGGCAATGCTGGGAAGCATCTTGGCTGTCAGCCGGCTCCTCCTCAGAGGCCCCCAAGGGCTGGGGCCCCTCCTCCACCTCCTCTGACCTAAGACTGGAGAGCATTGTGCCCTGAGCCACTCGGCCTTAACCCCATGCAGGGATCACACCCCCCAGAATACATGCTGGTGGTCAGCAGTCCAAGGACCGGTGAGGACCTCAGAGGTGGAGGGGCCCAATGTGTCACCTGCACAGTGTGTCCGAGAGCCGCTGGGCCTCTTCCAGCAGTCGCTGCCGCCGCTGTGCAGACAATGGGGTTGGAATCAGGATGCCTCAGCCAGCCAGTCACCCCAGAGCTACCTCTGCCTTCCCAGCGAACCCCGCAGACCCTACCTCGCTGTCGATCTTCTCCTTCAGGGCGGCAAAGGACACGCCCAGCAGGTCCAGCTGGCCACGGCGACGCCACCGGATGTCAAGGAGAGGGCTCTGCAAGGAAGGGAGAGCATCAGTCACCCCCCTCTAGGTTATGGGATTTCTACAGCCGCCCTCCCAACAGTGCTCAGGGACCTAGGTGGCATTCCATAGCATCAACAGGCCACAAGGAGCCCCTTCTCACCAGGGACCCCAAGGGATCATTGGAATGGCAGCAGATCTAAGGTGGAGGAGAGAAAAGGAGAAAAGAAACAAAAATGAGAAGAAAAGAGGAGAGAAAGAGGAGGAAAGTGAAGGAGAAAGACGGCTCTCCCAAGTGGAAGACTAGAGACCAGATGGACCTCTAGGGAGGCTCCCAGGGTCAGGGTGGGGTATGTGATGTCCAGGCCCCCGCTCGTGTCTGCACAGCACCCACCTGGACCCCAGTGCCCACTGGGTCAGCCCGAAGCACCAGAAAGGCCCGGTCGCCGCCAGTGGAGGTCACATTGATGTAGTCCTCCAAGACAGGGGGCCGCCTCAGGACAGGATTGCGGGTGGCTGGCGAGGCCTTAGCGAGACCCACATCAGCCCCGGTGTCCAAGGGCCTGGGAAGGGACCATGACCATCTTGGGGATTCTTGGGGAAGGGACTTGGATCCACTGCTGGCTACCCAGCCCTCCCACAGGCCCCCAATCCCCAGCCCTCAAGACCTTGTCGAAGAAACCGGATCCTCCCAATATATTGAGATACCTGTACCCCAAGCTACACACCCCTTGCCCCATAGTTCAGCC